ACAGCTGGTCGCGTCGGGGCCGAAGAAAGCGCGCGACAAGATTTGTGCAACGGCTGGCGGATGGGATCGGGACACGCCCCGCGACACCATCCTGAACGAGGCTCGTGCGTTTACCGACGCCATTCCCGACAAAGCAGAAGATGGGGTGTTCGTCCCGCTCAAGCGTGCCAGTTTCCTGGAGGTCCGTTTCACGAGTTCGGGGCGCATGTGGGCCTGGGCACGCTCGATGAAGGGGAAGCAGATTACTATGCCGCAGCCACATCACCTGGATCACCGCTTTTGGTTCTCTGTGGAGAAGCCCACGGAGGAAATCCGGCTGTCTATGATGATCTCGCGCGCGAAGAAGGTGGTGGCCGACAATTTGGGCGCTCAGGCGGCGGACCTCGGGCTAGACTACATTCGTGGCATCATCTGGTGGAAGCAGCACAGGTTTGGCGAGATGGTCAAGACCACGGGCCTCGTGAGCTTCAAGGAGCACGTTGCGGCCGCGCAGTCCGACCATTCGGCCATCGAGCTGGAGTTCACCCTTGGCACCAGGAGGCGCTACATCTGGAACGGAGGTCGCGCGCCTATGATGGGCTGGACCTGTCTCGACAACCACTTTCATTGCTGGAGCCACAGCGCCTGCTACGCCGACCGCAACCCAGCGCTACTTACTTCCATGACGGACGCGGTGCACCTAGCTGCCGTCGCCTGTGGCAGGGGCCCGCCTGCGAGGAAGGTTTCCAAGCCCCCCGAGAGTCACGAGCCCACGCAGACGTCGCGGGCGTTGGAGACGCGTCGGCGGGCCACCCGCGACCGCGCGCAGCGCGCGATCTACAGCAAGGATATCATCAGGATTCGCAGGAAGATCTGGACCGCGAGCAGGGCCCTGCAGCACTGCGCGCACGAGGCTGGCAACCCCCGAGTACGAGCGCCTCGCCGAGCCCAGCTTGGACCGATCCACAACCAGCCGATGAACGCGGAAGGGGGATATCGAGGACGACCCGCTGCGAATCAAGGAGCCCTTGGAGCGCGACTACGGCAATGCCTTCAGGGCCAGCGATGGGGAGGAGCCCGCCGGGGCCTCTGCCTACCTCACCCGTTGCACGACGGAGGATGCGCTCGGTATCCCGCCCTTCTAGCCCGAGGTGCTCCGCGGGGCTCTGTACGGCATGAAGGCCATGAAGGCACCTGGCGTGGACGGGGTGGTAGCCGAGGTCACGCAGGCCCTCGGCTCGGGCTTTCTCGCTTCGCTCGCGGCCGCGTTCGAGAACCGCTTCCGCGGGGTACCCGAGTGCGCCAGGGGCCAACCCTGGTCGAAGCACATCATCCAGCCTATGAAGAAGAAGGGAGACAAGCACACGCTCAAAGGGTACAGGCCGATCACGCTCCTGACCACCTTCGAGAAGCTCTACCCGGTCGGCCCGACCAAGAAATGTGCCACCAAGTTGACCCTGCGGAGCCCACAGTTACGCCTATCGGAAGTTCCACCTAGCGATGGACGTGATCTTCAGCATGCGCACGCTGGTAGAGAAGGCCCGCGATTGGAACCGACCCACCTGCATCATGGGCGGCGAAATCGAGGCTGCCTTCGACCGCGTCTAGCACCGCTCGGTCGAGGAGGCACTGAGACACCGCTCGGTCGAGGAGACACTCATGGGGGAGTTACAGGCCTCGGCGGCGATCAAGATGGGCTCGATCCAAACGCAACCTGCACCTCGGACTGGCGGCATTCGACAAGGGGGTCCCAGCCAGCACGATCCTCTTCAACCTAGTGCTGGAAGATGCCTGGGAGGAGTTCATGGGCGAGCGCTGGACACGCGGCTGGGGCTACGAGTTCCCGGGCGGGGCGACGCTGTGCGAGGCGGGACTTCTCTGCGCCGACAACTTCTGGCTGTTCGCGGGCGCGGCCGAGTCGCTGCGCCAGATGACGATGGCCTGGCGGCGCATCCTGCGAGCTCGCGGCTGGCGCGCATCTCCCTCGGGTTTGACCTGGGGCACGACGGCGCTGGACCACGAGTTCAGCGACTACCAGATGGGGGTCGGGGACGGCGTCGCGACGCGCACGCCTCGTGCCGAGGGTTTTCCTTGCCTCGGCTCCATTGTCATTTTCGATGGAAGGTCTTGAAAGGACACGCAGCACAGGGTAGCTCGCGCCTGGAAAGCCTTTTACGCTCTCAAGATGTCTCTACCTGGACGCGCCTGCCGCTGGCAGCAGGCCGCGAAGCTGCTCGAGCGAGCCCTCGAGCCTGTCTTGCTCTATGGGTCGGGGTCGCGGTGCCCCGCGGTCAAGGATCTGAATCTAATTCGTGTCACGCGCCGCGAAATGTTCCCTCAGCTGGTTTGCACGGAGAGATGGAAGGAGGAGTCTCCAGAGGATTTCTGTCGCCGCCGTTGGCGCCGCGTCTCTGCTGCTCATTGGACATAGACGTGAATATTCGCAGACTTACCTGGGCTGGACACCTAGCCCGCCAGGCCGCCCTGCCAGACGCCACACCTGTCCAGCTTGTGCCCGTCCATCTGCTGCAATGGCGCAGCATGGCCTGGCTTCAGAGAATGAAACGCGAGCACGGATCCCAGACGCATGGCCGCATATTCAAGGCCTGGCGTTGGGAAGTGGGCCTCGCCCGACTGCTCGGTTCCGGTTGGCTCGCGGATGAGGTCAGCGCAGCATGGCGTAACGGTTCGCTCGCGTTCGCCCGATTGCACGCCAACTGCACTGACCTCAATCTTCTCGTGCCTCACGCGAGGCGCTTTTGCAGACCGTTTCTTTCAGCGGTTTGACGTGCCGCCTCAGGCGCAAGGGAGACCTTGAGGGCACGGTGCAAAGTGCAAAGCGCATCATTATCATCATCGTCAGCACATCATCACCATCGTCATCAGCATCATCACCATCATCATCGTTCGCATCAGCATTAGCATCAACATCATCATCAGCAGCATCATCATCATCGTCATCCACCTCCTCCTCATCCTCACATTTTGGCCCTGGGCCTCGAAGAGGGGCGGCGGAGCCTCAAGTCGTCGAACACGCAGCAAGCCTCGAGGTTGCCTGACGTCCTCGCGCCGTGGAAAAACCACGGAATGTTTGCACCGAGGCTGCGCCTACGAGGGCCCCGACGGGGCCCTGGGACAAACAAAAAGCAACTCGGGATGAGATGGTGATTGTGTTTTATTCATTGTTTTGCCGATCGGCGCGGGCCCTCGCACCCCCCTCTACCCCTTGGAGTGGATCTTGGCTGTTTTTGGATTGTTTCGAACAGGTGGAGCCTCCCCCATGATGGACGCACTGCTACACACAGGCGCACTAAGCAGAGGTCCGGAACCAGACCCCCCACACACTTTCAACCAAGTGTCGAAACGCCGCGTAACAAAGACGCCCACCTGAGATGCCAGTCCAAGGAAGTGGTTCAGACCTGCGGGGAGCTGCGCTGTGAAAAAACACTGGGGGGGCCACGCTGTGCGAAAGTCACGGCGTCGGATGTCTGGGTTGGGCCATGTGAGGCTGGGCCTGGAAAAGGCTTCCGGGATATACAGGACTCCCGATCTAGCCCTCGCCAGGTGCACTGCCACTCCCCAGGCCCCCGCCGCACAACCAAACGTGCCATCAGGGATGGCTAGGCTTTGCGCCCGATTCCTCGCCCTTCATGGTCAGAGGGCGTGGGAGGCTCAATTGCTATATCAGAAATCGCGCTCTCGGTCCAAAACCATTCAGTACCTACGGCCCCACCTTTCGAACACCCCAAAAGGTGCAAGACTGGATAATGGCTCCCGTTCTTGCCCCGTTTTCGCCAGGCACCTCAAGGTCCCAAAGCTTGACCATGCCAACATAATTACGAATGGACGGAGGACGTTTTTCCAACATCGAATTGTAGCTTGATCCTTCCATAAGCCATAAGTATATGACAATACAAATCTAGGGCGGTCAAATATCGAAGTCGTGTTTTCGCGTTATGTTTCTTCACGCTCTGAGGCACCAAATGAATACCCAACTGGCTCACGGGTTGAGGGCGGTTGGTTTTGAACGCCGTGCTCTCGCTTCGGCACCGCGCGCACCATCGCTGAGTTTTCCGCGGAACACATTGAATGGAGTATGAATGGAGGTTCGCTCCCTGTGTTTTAGCACACATGGTGGCTACACAATATACGGGATCTCATCACTCCAGCCCTGCCATTTTCTGTGGCCTGGCCCTGGGTTCTGACCCTTCTCTTTAGCCAGGCCTTCCCAAGCTGAAGTCGGGCCTGTCCCTCTATAGGAGGAAGATTCAAAAATAGTAAAAAATAGTGAGGACGATTTCCCTGGCAATTTTTCACTACATTTGAGTATTCTTTGAATTTGTTTGCTTTTCGTCCAAAATCCGCCTGTAGGGGGACAAGCCCGACCTGATACCAAGCCCTGGACTCGTGGCCAGCCCACAGGAAGGAGTAACGCCAGTCGGTCCTCCTGGGTCCTCGGCCAGTGGCAGGCCCATGGACCCCCTTCATGAGTCGGACCGGCGGTCGCCGGTGTGAAAGGGGCTGCCCGCACGCATGCACGAGGAGGGGGCCCAGGGACGGGAGGGTGTACTGCAGCATCGGTGATGTGTGCTGGACTCGTGGTGGCCTGCCTCGTCACCTCTCTCGCCCTCCTCCCTCTGCAGCCTCTCCCGCTCGCCCCGTCCTCCCCCCCCTCCCGGCACCCACACGGCAGCGGCCCCCCGCGAGGGATCCCAGACCGCCAGCCGTGGCCTCACTTGCTCCGCCCTCGAGGGGGCCCGGGCGCACGCCCGCATGCATGAGCGCTCCGCCCCGTTCCGTCCCTCTCGCGATGTTCAGTGCGGCTCCCTGCGCTTTTCGAGCTGCGGGGCTGGTTCCAACGTGACGCGTGTCGCCTCTGGAAGGCGGCCGCGGCCACAAGACGCGAGGCGCGAAGCGATGCTTGAACAGGGGCGCGCGACTGCAGGAGAGGACAACAGCGGACAAGCCGTGCTGCCTCGCTGGCGTGCGAGGCGGATTTGAATCCTTCCCTCCTCCCCGAGGCGGCGTGCCTTTGCACCGAGGCCGCCGGCAGGCAGTTTGCCAGGCGCGTGGAGAAGGAGTGGCACGGGGCGGACGGCACCATCCTCGACGAGCTCTGCCGGGAGCTGCGGGCCTGCTCGGTGAGCCTGTCCGGCACCGCGGCGGGCTCGAGGGCGCCCGACGCCAGGCTGCTCTACAGGTATTGCGCGGAGCTCAAGTCCCTGTACGGCGCCTCGCTGGCGGACGAGCGCTTGTCGCAGTTCCCGCTGGCGCTGCTGTGCATGCTGCTCTACACGCAGCACGACGTGGACGTGGACCGGCTCCTGCTCTTTCAGGACTGCCCCCCCGCCTGCGAGAGCCCCGGCGGCCGGGGCGCGGCGTACGGAGCCTACCGCGAGAGGCACCGGTCGCGGCGGTCTGGCGATCGCAACGAGGCCGTGTGCGCCGCGGCCGCGCTGTCCGCCACCCTGGGCGAGGAGGGGTCGCCGCCCGCGCGGTGGATCAAGCTGTCGTGCCTGCTCAGCGCGGCGCGGATCCCCCTGAGCCCCCCAAGGCAGGTCTCCAGGTGGCTCTGCGGCCTGCCTGCGCACCTCGTCGCCGAGCTCGGGCAGAGGCGGCCGGGAGAGCGCCTGTGCTGGGCGCAGCTGGGCAGCTGCACCCTGGACGGCGCGATCGCGGAGGGCTACTGGAGCGCGGCGGGGCCGGAGGAGGGCGTCCTCCTGACTGTCGAGGGCGTCACCGAGGGCTTGGAGCTTGCAGCGCTGAGCCAGTACCCAGCGGAGCGGGAGCTGGTGCTGCCCGCGTGCTCCCTGCTGCGAGTCCGGCAGGCGACGGCGCCGGACGGGCGGCCGCCGCACCTGCGGTGCGAGTACGCCGGGACGCTGCTGAGCGACGAGCTCCAGGAGGCCTGCTGGTACGATCTGGCGAAGGCCTCCTTCGGGCTGCAGCTGGTCCTGGACGAGGTGCGGCCGAGCAAGGGGCCGCCCATCGGAGAAGAAAGGACGCCACAAACATAAGCTTTTGGCGCTCCGCGCGGGTTTCTTGGAGCCAAGCTGCACCCCCCGCCCTGGCGCGCGGAGCGCGCTAAGGTGCGGCGCCAGAGGCGCCGCCGAGGGGAGCCCAGCGCCGATCCAAGAAATCTGCGCGGAGCGCCAAAAGCTTATGTCTGTGGCGTTTTTTCTTCTTCTAGCCCAGCCCGCCGACGCCCCCGCCGGCGCCGCAGAGGCAGCCCGCGCGCGCGCAGAGCCCCCGGCTCGCTGGGCAGCTGTCGCCGCAGGCGGCGCCGTCCCGCATGAGGACGGCCGCGGCGGCGGCGCACGCGGCGGCGGCCATGCGCAGGGCCGGTGCGCCGGGGCCGGGGCAGCCCGGCGGGTTGGCCCCGAGCCCAGGCCTGAGCTCGAAGGAGGAACACCAACATAAACATAAATGTTCGGAGCTCCGCGCGGATTTCTTGGATCGGCGCGGGGCCCCCATGGCGGCGCCTCCAGCGCCGCCCCTGGCGCGCCGATCCGAGAAAGCCGCACGGACCTCCGAAAGTGTATGTTGATGTCGTTGTTTCTCCCTCGATCAGCAGCGTGTATTCGGAGGAAGCCTTCAGGACGCTGGGCTACCTGTTCGGCCAGATGGACCGGCGGGGCGCCTTTGCCCTCAGCCGCGATGACTTCGTGGCTGCGCAGACGAAGCTGCGGTCGCAGCCCGAGTTCGCGCGACTCCTGAAGAACTCCAGGCTCTGTGCTCAGTTCTTCGAGTGCCCGCACGACCTCACGCTGCACCGCTTCCTCTTCCTCGCCATGCCGTGCGCGAGGGAGTCGGACGTCAGGCGCGTTTGCGGCGCCCGTGGGGGGGGGAGGAGCTCAGCGAAGGAGGCCAACCCCCCGGATGCCTCTGGATGCCACTGCCGGAAGGCCACGTGGAGTGTGCCCAGGGCCTTCCGCGGGCCTCCGGAGCCATCCGAAGGCCTCTGAAGGAGGAGGAGGAGGAGGAGGAGGAGGAGGAGGAGGAGGGAGGAGGAGGAGGAGGAGGAGGAGGAGGAGGAGGAGGAGGAGGAGGGGCAGGAGGGGGAGGAGGAGGAGGAGGAGGAGGAGGAGGAGGAGAGTCTGGCGGTGGAGGCCATGACCTGGGCCTTGTGCAATGCGAGCTTGCACTCTAGCTCGTCCTGCACAGGGCTGGCGAGCCTAGTCGCGGAGCGTTGCAATTGTCGGACTAAGGCTTGCGGATCGCGATGTTGTTGTCCCAGGAATAGGCCATCTACAAACATCTGGAGGTCCGCGCCCCAGGGGTTTCTGAAGGTCCAGGCGCCCAGAGGGCCCAGGCTGTAAACTTGCATGAAAAATGTAGCCCATCCGCAACCAGCTGCAATGCCTCGGGTAGGATGGTCCACAAGTTGGACCAGGTCTCGGGTAGCAACAAGTCCCGTGCTGCTGTACTGGTTTAAAATGACCTTCAGGGGGACGCTGCTAAAACCTACGTCGCAGGCCCTCTCTATCAGCTTCCGGCGATCAATGTGCTCATAGTAGTTGCTGGGGTCCCACAGCACACCTCCTGAGTGGAGCGGCTCTCGGCGGATCTTTTCGCGCTTCGCCTTGAGACTCTGGCGAAAAACAACTTCGGCGATACTCTTTCCCGCCTGGTGGGCCAGGAACGAGCGATAGCGCTTTGCCTCCCATCGTCGGGTTTCGATTTGTCGGACCTTGGGCCAAATTCTATACATCCCTGGCATCATCCCAATACCACGGAACTGGGCAGTAGCTTTTCGGGCGACGTTGGTTTTTATCTTTGGGATCAAGACCGAGACAATCGCTTGCAACTGGGTGGGCATAGCACCTATCTTCTCGACGAGATGCAGAAAACGACAAACTAGGCCGGCTTGTTCAAGCGCCAGGCTCTGGAAATGCCTCGGGCGAAATCCGTCCCAAGTCGGGGCCGTTACATGCGAGAACCTCTTGGCTGCGTCAACGAGGTCCCGGGGCTCGATTGGGGGGAGATATGGCTCTTGTGGCCCTGGGGCACATGATACTGAGGCCTGTCCACCGTAGCATCCCAAAGGTCACTGAGTCGCTCAGCTTCGAACTCCAGCAATTTGGAGGGCCGTCCAGTCCAGATGCCTTTCCTCGGGACTTTGTCGGGGCTCCAAGCGTCAAGGCTCTTCGTCCATTTGTGGGCCCACCCAGCATTACCTTGCGTGCCCATCTGCACCCGCTCGTGCCAAGCTTTTGTAGCATCGCGTTTTTCCTCACCGACTCCTGGTCCAGAAGCTTCGAAATGTTGTCAAGAATGTCGTCCAGGGCTTCTCTTCCCAGGTCGGGGTCCAGGACCTTGGCATTCACATCCAAAACAGTGATTTTCAGGCACTGGCGGGTGGTCTCTAGGCACTCGGAGAGAAACTCTGACTCGTTAAACTGTGTAGGCGGGTCCTCGAGGCACTCGGTAATCTCGACAAGTCGTTAGCGTCCAACTTCGCTAACTTGAAGTAGAACTGCTGCGCGAGATTCCTAGGTCAGATAAGGGGTCCAGCATGAGAATTCCAGGCAACTCGTTGTTCTTTCAAAAGCTGTTTCGCTTGAAACCACTCGACCCTGGGAGGACATGCCCTGGGCCGAGAACTCGCCTGCAAGCCGTGCCCGTTAAACCCGCAATCGTAATTTCGAGGCCCCTGGTCAGAAAGTGGTAGACTTGATCAAGGGCGGCTTGTTTATCCCCCTGGATCGGCGCGGCAGTCTCGTTATTCAGGATCCCCTCGGCAGCGTCGAGCGCTGCTTCCACGGCTATCCACTCGCGCTCTGGCAGCCTGGGCCCAAAGACAGGCTTGGCGGGCAGGCGCTGCGGCTTACAATGAACCTGGACTGTGAAATTCTCGCCAACCTCGATACGGATGCTTACTGGACGATGTGGGGGGAGTGGGTATGCTGCGTGTACGTGTGGCTCATGAAGTACATCTTGCAGACATCCACTATAAAACAAACTAATCCAAACAACTCTGGGAGGTCTTAGTTCTGCACGCGGGGGAGGAGGGATGCATGAATTGCATGCCTGCGCACTGCAAGACATCGTGCTTAGCTTGGCGGGGCTCATATTCAAGTCACCTGCTATGACTATGGATATCTGGTACTCATTCTGTAGAATGGCGGTGGCCGCCTTGGTCTCATGCAAACTGGTGCTAACCTGCATGTACACGGATAGGATTCCTATGACACCGAGCTCAGGCAGCTCTACTCTGGCACCATCAAGGCGTCCCTGTGGAAGAACTTCTTGAGCGTCCCTTGGAATTCTCATGTCCTGAATCCCGAAGCCAAAACTATCCTTTATCAAAACGCAAACTCCAGCTGACGGGGTGCCCGTAGAACTGAATGCGCCCACCTCAAACAAAGTTGTCCATCCATGTCGCTCGCACCACTGACTAGCATAAGCGATGGCCTGCGGGGTGCACAGATTGGTCTCCTGCGCGCAGATGATGCGGTCATCTGCGGCGAACTCAGAGCGAAGGTACGCTTTGACCTGCGGCCAGCAGCTGCCGTTGATGGTAGTGATGCGGATGGTGCTACACACGCGCCGGGGCCGCAGGACGCTCTGCGGCATGCTGGGCAGCAGCAGTCTCCGCCGTGAACTTGAGCTTCTTGCTGGCTTCTCCGCCGTGGAGCTCCTGCTTGGCGATGATGGCCCAGCAACTGACGAGCTGTCCGGCGGCCCGTTTCCTGGCGGCCTCCATCTGCGCATCGCCATCGTTGGGGACAGGATCGGCGGCGGCATCTGGGGGGCTCTCGGACTTGATGGGCTCGCCCTCAGGAGCCTGGCCCACTCTTGGGAGTGGGTCTTCGTCACCAGCTCGCTCGTCGACCTTGATCCCCTCCTGGTCGTTGCTGTTCTCCGCCGTCGCCTTCTGCTGGTGCTCGATGGTCACGAGAATCTTCGCCATGGCCAGGAGGTGTTGGTCGAGCTCCTTGGGGATGTGGGCAGCAGGCTCGTCGGTCCTCGCGGCGATGAGCGAGCGCATGGCCTCGGACATCGGCACCTCCTGCGCCGC